CAAACTTAAACCACTGAAAATTTCATAAATCACAAGATGCACCACTCACAACTCCAATTTCTTTTCACAGACATCGGTATGGAAGAAGACGGTGATATCGATTTTGAATTCTCCCCATCCACACTCAGATAATGTAAAAGGAGGTGAATCAACCACTCTAGTAGGATTCTGAAAACTTGGATGCAACTGGAAGATGACTTTCTTTATAACCACACCAAGATCCTCATTCGTAGCTCCACGCACATAAACAGTCCACTTATGTGTTCGATAACTAGTTCATTGAAAAATAATACAGAATCAAACATCTAGAAAGAAAGATTGTAACATCAAAATAGATTTAAAAAACAAAAAAAAAGACTCACTCTTTAACATTCTTTCCACGAAAAAACGCAATCGATCCACACACAATCGGTACAGAAACTTCAACATCTTTGACCGTTTTTCTCCCATTCTACAAATCCAGAATCAGAACCAACAACACAACATTTCAATTTTTTCAAAGACGATCTTTTTTAACGATAAAACAGTCTAAAATTTCATAACTTGATGCAGAAAACGTAGAACTCGACTACACGAAGATATACCAAGAAAACGAAGACAAAAACCCTAAAATCTTTCATCGGAGAAAGTGGCATTTTAGGGTTTAATCGACAACAAAATACCTTATCTTCTCGATCATCAATTGTTCTTCCCATTACGACCATGCGTGTCTTCTGGATAGAAGCAGGAATTTCAGACAAAAACTCGACATCAGATTCCATGATTAACCAAGATATCGCGAATCAGAAATCGCCCAAGTCAACTTTTTCTTCTTCTCTTTTCTCCGATTCGATTTCTCACGACGGAGGGGAAAAAAAAAAGATTTGGGGTTTTAGAACCTTAAACACAAAAGTATACGAAAACAGAGTGACCGTGTATCTATACGGTACACGTGTATAAACTACGTTTTGCCACGTCATGTACGATTTTGCCATGGCGGTAGAACTTCTTGCCGTTTGATACACAGACGTAAGAACTACCTGCCGTTTATGAGTATGAACAATAGCTCTTTGCTTATGCATAATCTACAGAAAAAGTTACAAGAATGTTTTTTTTATCTGAAACAAAGAACAATCACTTCTTCGAAAGCATTGTCTCAAGAAGAGAAAGATTGACAATAAGAGATGAGCCAATAACAATGTCCCGGGGAAGAGAGAAAGAAGAGAATTTTCAGATGTTTGATGCACTTAAAGCCATAACTTTGCATTGTTCATTTAAAGCTAGAAGCTGAGCTTCTTTCTTGTCCAGAAGTGCCTTCAATTTCACATTCTCCTCCATCAGTTTCTGAACTTCAACCTCTTTTTGCGCCTTCTCGCCTTCTAGTTGCGTCGTCTTAGTCACCAACCTGCTTCACCATTAACAAAACAGAGAAAAAAATGGAGACACTAATGTTTTGTAGTGTAGGAAAGATTTAGGCTTTCTGGTGAAGGAATGACAAACCAAGGAAAACAGCTAAATAGGAGACTGACCGTTCAAAGAGCTCTTCAATGGTTCTGAATTGTCTCTCGGACGAAAGAAGTGTTTCTCTAACATTGGTGAAAGTACTGACGTAGCTTTTAAGCGACTCGAACTCTCTCTTCACACGACAAAGCTCCTCTTCGTTTTCAAAAGCTTTTTCCTTCTGTCTCATCGTTTCTACAACTAGTTCCTCAATCCTTTCCCGCATTTCGTTTAGAACACTATTAGTCCCGTGAGCAAACTCTTCCATCTCTTCTAATTTCAAGGACAAGTTCTCGATTTGGACCGTCTTCCTACTAATTTCTTCCTCTCCCAAAAGTGCCCTCTCCTTTTGAACAGCCGTCTCAGACTCTGCTTCTGTAACCCTCCTCACAAGAGATTCCAACACATCAGTAACCATCTCTATGGACTGGAGCATCTCATTAGTATAAACTCCATCCTCTACACCCAACGAACCCCGATACATTCTAGTTTCGGGAATAGCGCTCCTATCCCCTTCAGAAGACGAACCACCATCTAATCCTTTCATTTCAATCTGTTCAACTTCGCACGACAGATGAGCTAGATCAGGAATGGCCAAGACTCTAGCTTTCGATCTCAAATACCGCAACATTGTCGCGGTCGTTCTGACTCTACCGGAAAGAACACCTAATTCCTTTCTGGCATCTTCTTCAGAACCAAAATCAAGGTAAGCCTTGACATCAACAAGCTCAGCTTCTAAACTATCTACCTGTAACCGACGAGATTCCAATTCACTATTCCATAACATCTTACTAGCTTCAGACTCTTGTGCAGATCCATTAGTATCTTCTTTACAATCCATCCCTAGACTCTTCAAACTGCAATAAGTCAGAAAGTAGACATCTTTAAAACCAAAACCTAAGTTAAGGGCAGATCTAGCTTCCAATATGTAGATCAAGACCAAACATTTGCCATTTTAGCTTCCTTTGAAGTTTGTAACAAAGGAAATTTCAGACAAAGATACATTGAATTTGATTATCAAACAACTGAAATATGATCTGAGCT